AGCTCAGCCCCCCCAGCCAAACAGAGGCTGCTGCCACCACTCACTGCTGCCTCTGATCCAGCATCCCTGTTGACCACAGAACTCCATGGCGTCACAAGTAGTAAGAGAAGTCAATAGAAGAGTTTCCCCCCATCAACCTCCTGCAGCCTCGACTTAAGGTACTTTAACTCCAGCTACGTTATTTTTGTAACTGGAGTTATACATCTTAAGTAGACTTTCTCCCTAAGTGTAAACCTGACCAGAGGGCAAGATTCTGCCAATTATCTCCTTCACAGAAGAAGTCCTTACTCATATAAGAAATTCTTGTGTACATAAAAGCATGTTTGGGATTAGACCAGGCCCAGCAAAACATGGCCTGCAGGTCAAATCCAGACCGACAAGCCACTGGATCCGGCCTGCAAATGCAGCGGGGAGCCCCAGGCAGGCTGCCCTGCTTGCCCTGCAGTCTGCTCAGAAAAGCAGCTGCGGGGCTGTTTCTCTTTCAAAACTGTGATCCTGGGAGATGGTGGGGAGGCTTCAGGCGCTGCGCTCACCTCCAGGATAATCCAGAAACTGGCAAACGGAAGCTGCCTGTTTGAACATCAAGCAGCATGTAAAGCATCATGCCCCTCTCCCCTCCGGCTCAGTAATTCATACAAGCACATGGCCCTGTAGCCTGTGCAGGCATGGGGCAGGCAGGCTGAGAAATGTTTTAAGCTCTGCAAGCAAGCAGGCTGGTTGGGCTGATGGGGGTAAGTCTTCCGGCCAAAGCCTGCTTCTAGCACCCTAGCCCCTTACTTCCCCAACTTCTGCACCCCCACTCAACATACCCAAACCCTCTGCCCCCCTTCTGCACCTATACCCCCTCCCGATGTGGCAACCCAATCCCCTGCCCCAGATCACTATCCCCTCCTACCCTAGGTCACAACCCAAATTCCTGCACCTCAGTCCCCTGCCTTAAGTCACAACTGCCTCCTTCACCCAAACTCCCTACCATACCCCATTCTCACTCCTGCACTGCAATCCCTTACCCCAAGCTCCCTTTTGCACCCAACGTCCATTGCAGACCCCACACTTCCTCCATTAATATAATGGAAGAGTGCAGCCCTTGGCCACTTTACAAAAACTTGGAGTGCCCCCCCCCCCAAAAAAATTATTGCCCAACCCTGGATCAGACCGATAGAAAGTACTTATAACTTCATTATGAACTCTAGTACTATGTACCAAAGTTTCACCTGTCTTGTATGGTGGAATGTGTACAAGTTTAACAAGGAAACCATTATTAGTATTGTGTCTTTACTTCTGAGTTTGAAGGCTTTTGTTTTTCTCTTCAATCAACTTCTTTTCCTTAATATCAAAGGATTCTTTCATTTGTTTAACTTGTGTCTCCAAATGGCTTAAAAGTTCTCCTTTATCTTGCCACTTCTTATTCATTGTACTGAAAATAAAACACACATGTTCAGGGTGCTTACAGATTCTATCATCTTTTAAAACTGTAAGGGAAAGTGATATATCGATACTTCCCCATTTTCGAGTTCTAATGATCAAAAGTTAGGCTGTGGCCTGCCTACTGAAGTGCTCTTCTCCTAACCAATTTGAAATTTCGGTGTGTCATAACATTTCATTATGCTTATTTACTATATATTTTAGAGAGTTTATGAATCTGTCCATTTGAGAGTACATTTGTTCAAGAACTCCTCCTAAACCCATGGCATCCAACCAGTTCTGAAGCGGTAGCCACTACTGCAATAGTAAACTAGCCACACTCAACCTGCCAAATAGCTACATGTGGTTAGTGGCTAAACTGTTGGGACACCGTGTTCCTAAACAGTAAGAGTGAGGATCACTAAATTTGGTATGAAGCTTCCTCTTAAAGCAATGTCAGAGTGTGGGTGCGCCAGGACAGCGGGATGTGCCTGGAATTCTATTGTTTTGCATGAAATAGAAAGGAAGGGGTGTAATAGCAGGGAGAAACTGGCAGAAAGCCTGTGCAGCCTGGAAAGAAGCCGCGTGGACAGGCTGCTCAGCCCACATCACCCGAGGCCAGACCCAGACTAAAGGCTGGGTAAGTCTTCTAGTATTATCTATTATACATTACCTGTATGCTTTCCTAATATCTTCCAGTTCTGCTTCTTTTTCTTCTAGCAGTTGTTTTAATTCCTCTTTTCTTTCATTTTGCCTTTCTAATTTTTCCATTATCTCTTCCAACTGCGCAGTTTTTTCATCCAATTGTACCTGAAAAGTCTTTTTGATTTCAACATTTTCTTCATGCTGTTTTCTGATCTGTTCATCTCTTTCCTGTAAACCCTATAAAAAGACAAAAACATCTGCTTTGGTATAAATGAGTATAAACTAGCTATAAATAAATGTAGGTTGAAAATTAGATGAAAGTTTCTAGCCATCAGAGCAGTTAAGTTCGGAACAGGATTTCCAATACAAGAAATGAGGGCTGAAAGATTTGCTATGATAAATGAGGAAAAGATTTGAGCCTCAATGGAATTTGTAATAGTAGTTTAAGTATTACCCTATTGCTTCCTGAATGCAAAAGGAACAGAATAAAGGAGAAAATACCTTATATTGGAATATAAGATTTCAATCAAATTTAAACAACAATTTGTAGTGTTTGCTTCATTAAAACATATTCCATGAGACCCTGCCCTACATTGTTCTTCTACATTTCTGGTGAAGTACATAAACAAGTTTCAATGACATGATCACAATCATGTCCTACACCCAATGAAGTGTATGAGAGAGTACCCTTGTTAGACTACTATGGCACTGTCTTTCTAATTTTATTCAAGTCATTGCCATAATTTTCATTCCAACTCTGTTTTTGCATACATACATATGTGCGCGCGCACGCACGCGCACACACACACACACGCACACACACATGTGTTTGTGAGTGATTTCTTAATTGTTTCTGTTTGATCTTCCACTATCTTGGTCTTAATTCTTAGGATATCATTGTCACGTTCACTTTGTTTTTTCAGAATCTCACATTCATTGGCTAGAACTTCAATTTTTGCTTCTAGTTTTCCACGATCTTGAGCAAGAGAAGCTCCTGGACAAACATATCAACGTATGACACTGGAGATCATGAAAGCATTTTTCACACAAATTTCAGAAAAGTGAACATTTTATGCCAGTTTAGACATGCTTATAAGACCTGTGTAGAACAAACTACAGATGGAGAGCTTAATACCATTAAATTATGTTCTTATAAGTTAAGCAACACTTACTGTTTATATCTCTGGGAACTTCTATAATAAATTAACAAAAATACTTCTAGATCTAAACAAATTTCAAGAGACCACCAGATGGTGCTAATCTGTGCTGCTAGTACAGTGCAGCAAAACAAGCAAGATGATAAAAGCCACACATCTTACTCCAACATTTTAAGTTAGCTATCTTCAAGGACATCTGCAATTTATGGGGGACAAGTGGCATTATATGAGACAGATATCAATGCAGTAAGTAATGCTATTTAGAACTGAGTGAATTCCCTCAAATCCAATGCAATTCTTCATCATTTTATGTGTTACCCTTTTCTCTGAATTATCAACAAGAGTCAATTAAAGTAACAGGTGAGTGCTAACTGGGGATATGTCTACACTACCCTGCTAGTTCGAACTAGGGGGGTAATGTAGGCATACCGCACTTGCAAATGAAGCCCGGGATTTGAATTTCCCAGGCTTCATTTGCATAAGCGGGGAGCCGCACCTGTATCTTACAGAAAGGGATGCAGGCAAAACTAATCTCCACTTTCCTCACCCCTTCCTGGAAAATGTCACTCCAGGATCCTTGTCAGCTCACAGCACCACCCAGGGCAGGATTTGATTAAACAGCAATTACCTCATTAATAAAAAATATTCATTTCTCTTAGCTTTGCAGAAACAAACATCTATGGGAGAGCATGGTGGCATCTATTCTGCCTTGTACAGGAGTGGCCCAAGACGAGTTGCCGGCAACTGGCGCCCTAGGCGAAATGCACGATAGGCGCGCAATTGGCACCCCCGCCTCCAAAGCTCTCAACAGCAGTTTATCTTGGCACCCTAGGTGACCGCCTAGGTCACCTGTATTGACGGGCCGCCACTGGCCTTGTATCAGGGATGTAAAAATGCATTTATTAAACTAAACATTAACTCCTGAAATTTGTCAGTGGTTACACATGTGGGGTAGAACAGGTGAGTGCTAACAGGGAGTTTAGAGAGGGAGTTCTCCAGGTAAAGGAGAAGCAGATACAGGTCTCTTGAGGGAAGTGTGTGTTGTATATGGGGCTTTCTTGCTGTGTGGTGAGCTTGTGTTTGTGAGTGAGGGTTGGTGTGTGTTCTTTTTTGTGTATTGCTTATTTATTTATTTGTTTCCCCCTGTGTTTGAGAGTGAAGCTTTTTTTTCTTTTTTCCCCTCCCCACTTCCCCTTTGCCCTCCCCCTCCCCTTGATGGAGATTGTGCTGTGATTGGTAGGTGGAAACTGTTGGCTTCTAATTAAAGGTTGAATTCTAGAAGCCTCTGCTAATTGGCTGAGCCTTGGTACGGGGAGGGACTTTCAGGCACTCCAGGGCTTTATAAGGCAGTGGGCAAGTGACCAAGGAGCTTGTGAACAGGTGAGTGCTAACAGGGAGCTTAGAGAGGGAGTTTGGAAGGGGAGAGGGAAGGGTGCGAGGTTCTCTTGCCTTTCTTTTTAAATCCCTTCTCCAAGACAGCAGCGATGGATGGTGTAAAATGTTTGTCTTCTTCCCGGAAGAAAGAAGGGATTTCATCTGCACTAAGTGCAAGCTGGTCGCAATTTTGGAAGAAAAAAATTAGAGGACTGGAGGTCCAAGTGTCAACCCTACGCTCGATCAGAGAGGATGAAGACTTCCTCGATAGAAGGCAGCGTTTAATCCTTCAAGCACGGAAGGCAGAGGAATCAGAGAGGGCAGTACGTGACCAAGAAGGGAACTGGCAGCATGTAACTTCTAGAAGGGGAAAAAGGCCAGCATGGGAATCCCCCGATGCTATAGAGGTAAGTAATCGCTTTCAAGCTCTCTCCACAGGCTCTGCAGAGGTGAATTCTTTGGAAGGGACCTCACAAGGAAGAAACCAGAAGCGAACACCATCTACTGGAAGGCATGGGATGCGTAGTCCTAGGGATGGGGGTTCCACGGCCACCACCCCCAAAAGTAATATACCGTCTCATTATCACTGCTTCCGAGGTTGTCATCGGGGTGGTGGTGGTCAGGGACTCCACAATCCTTCGATTTGCTACCCCTTCCTGCTTCTCCACGTAGGAACTAATGATACGGCAAAGAATGACGTTGAGCGGGTTACTGCGGATTATGTAGCGCTGGGAAGAAGGATCCAAGAATTCGGAGTGCAAGTGGTGTTCTTGTCCATCCTCCCTGTTGAAGGGAAAGGACTGGGCAGGGATCGTCGAATTGAGGACGTAAATGCGTGGTTGCGCAGGTGGTGTCACAAAGAGGGCATTGGTTTCTTCGACCATGGGACTCTGTTCCGGGCACAAGGATTGTTAGGAAGAGATAGGATCCACCTAATGAAGAGAGGAAGGAGCATATTCGCGGGAAGGCTTGCAAACCTAGTGAGGAGGGCTTTAAACTAGGTTCGTCGTGGGACGATGACCAAAACTCTGAGGGGAGAGGGAAAGTCGGATACCGGGAAGAAATGCAGAGAGGAAGGAGCAAGAAAGGAGGACCCCT